AACCTAAGCATACCGTGCAGGCATGACATGTGGGCGTTTGCCTCGACAAAGAGTAAGAGGAAGCTCAGGCAGGGGAGATGCTCGCAGGTGTATGGAGGTCAATAGTACTTTCTGGAGTGGGTGTCGTGTCTACAGAATAGGGATCAGATGGTGAAAGAGAAGGCTCAGGTAAGAGAGAGTCAACAGAAGAAGATGAAGAGATTTAAGGGAGATCTCGAAAGGAGAACTGAGGTAAGGAAGTGGGTGATGTGGCTGGCGGAGAACCATGATCAGTAGTGTAGAGAAAATTAAAATTATCGGAAGCAGAATAAAATAGAGAATCCTCTTCGAACTGAATGTGTCGAGATATATATGAACTCGACGAGATGCAGGATCATAACAACATAACCTCGATGTTCTGAACTAATTCCTAAATAGACACAGAGAATAGCTCTGGGAGACAATTTATCATGTTCGTGAGATGGTAGAAGAACAAAATAGCGACAACAAAAAACGTGGACTAGATCATAATGGGAAAGATGAGTATAAACACGACTATCAGGAGTAGCACCGGAAAGAGAGCTAGATGGAGTGATATTAATGGCATGAGTAGCAGTGAGAATGGCCTCAGCCCAGAAACAACAAGGAACAGAGTAAGAAATGAGCATGGATCGAGCGGTATCGAGAATATGTCGATGTTTGCATTCAGCAATACCATTTTGCTCATGAGTGTAGGGACATGACTGTTGAAAGATAGTCCCATGAGAGGACATGATAGAGTGCATGGTAGAGGATAGGTACTCTGTGGCACCGTCAGAACGTAAAACTTTAATACGAGCTTGCCACTGAGTGAAGATCATCGCAGTGAAGACTTGATAAGCAACAAGTACGTCAGAGTGATTTTTAAGTAGGTAGACTCATGTATAACAAGAGAAATTATTGATAAAACTAACATAATATAAGTAGCAAGATGAAGAAGGTAGAGGAGCTAGCCCCTAAATATCAGAATGGACCAAATCAAATAAGGAAGTGGAAACCGATGTACTGGTTGGAAATGGTAGAGCGGTGAATTTAGCCAATTTATAACCAGTACATGACTCAATATGAGAATGAGAGAATACGGGACCAAGTACTCCGGACTGGTTAAGACTTTTTAGCTTTTTATGAGACATATGACCAAGTTGTCTATGCCACAAATCTATGAAAAGCAAAGTAGAGGATTTTGGACTTACAGAAGCAACAAGAGAATGTGGACGTATGGACTCTGGAATGTAAAGATATTCCAGAAAATACAGTTTGTGTCTCCTCCGGCCAGACCCAATAGTCTTCCCGTCTGTGGATCCTGCACAATATAAGTATCAGAAGAAAATGATATAAGTAGGCTATCCATACATAAGGAGCTAATAGAAATTAAATTCAAACACAACTGAGGAGCTACATAGATGGGGCTAAGAGTTAGACGATCAGATGGGTCAATTAATTTGTTAGGTGATAGAGCCATATTGAGTGATAGACAAAGGTTATCCAGTAGCCGTGTAGATAGGGGGAAGAGAAGAGGAAGTGAAGACAGGAGATAAGAGGGAGGCATTACGAGTCATATAAAAGGAACAGCCATAGTCAAAAAATCCAGAGATCGTTCATACCAGAGACTGAAGGGTTGGCTGAAGAACCAGTAAGACGCATACCAAAGAGTTGTGCAATAGATGTAGTGGCTCTATGCTGAAGAGCATCAATTTGATGGCGAATATCAGATAGTTGTGCAGCAGATGGAGAGGTGGTATGCTGAAGAGCCGCAATTTGACAGCTAATATTTGTAATATCTTGAAGAGTCTCAATTTGATGCCGAATATCTGCAATAGCTTGAAGAGTCTTAATTTGACGATGAATATCTACAATAGCTTGAATTGTAGGCCTGAAGTAGTAGATGGTATAACATTGACAAGTAATCCTGGTGCACTAGAGGATCGAGACTGAGGGGATCGCCGACTACGGCTTTGATGGCGAATATCAGAGAGTTGTGTAGTAGATGGAGAGGTGATATGCTGAAAGGTCACAATTTGACGGCTAATATTTGCAATAGCTTGAAGAGCCTCAATTTAACGGTGAATATCAGAGAGTTTTGCAGCAGATGAAGAGGTGGTATGCTGAAGAGTAGCAATTTAACGGCTAATATCTACAATAGCTTGAATGGTAGGGTCTGAAGTGGTAGATGGCATAACATTGACCGGTAATCCTGATGCACTGGATCAGGACTGAGGGGATCGCTGACTACGACCAGTTCCTGAGGAACGTAACTTAGGATGAAGCTGGAAACATATCTCAAAGCGGTGTCCCTCCTTCTTACAATAGGTGCAAAAGAGCTTAGACCGAGCCTGAGAAGCAGGTGCCAGTGAAGAGGCCATAATAGCAGCAATTCAAAGTTCAAGATAATAATCCTTGAACAAAACCCAAATATTTAAAGGAGAACCCGAAGGTTAATATAGAAACCCGAAGGTAAAATGTAAGAACCCGAAGGTTAAATTTGAACCCGAAGGTTATACATGACTGTAAAATCTGAGAAAAAGAAGCAACCGGCGACCAAGGTGGCCCGAAGATCGGCCGGATCTGATGCTCATGCCGGAGACTTACAACGGATTAATGCCGTTGTTAAGACATTCAGACATTAAGACGTTGAGATGTCGAGAAGGATTAAAATGACGATGTCGTTACTGACTGTGAAACGGAAATGTCATTTATTTGAGGCCGAGAGACGGCTTGAAATGGCGATGCCGTTAATTTGAGACCGAGAGACGGTCTTGAAAAACCGCTATGCCGTAAATTTGAGATCAAGAGATGATCTTGAAACAATAATGTCGTTAAAATAGAAACCCGAAGGTTTAAAATATAACCCCGAAAATTAATAGAACCCGAAGGTTAAACGAGAATGTGAAATGCATTAAAAGTCCGTAAAGCAGCAAGGCCAAAAATCCGACTGAGGAACGTAAAAAAACGTTAAACGACTGCAAACCAGCAACGCCAAGATTTGGCAAACGAACACAGAAGCATTAAAAAATTTATTAAAAATAAAATAATAACCCTAGCTCTGATACCATGTTAAAGTAAGAGAGAAAGTCTTGGGTAAATTTCCCCTTTAGTTGAATATTGAATGTGCACATATATTTATATAAGTTGAGGAGGGTGAGGTGTGTTCTCACAACCAATATGGGACTAAAAACCCACTACTAACACTATTATCAACACTTAGCAAGACCGATCATTTTGTTAAATATTTAACAAAACCGACATCTTTTTGGCCAGCTCATCAAAGCTGGCCGAAAAGAGGTCGGTTTCCTTGAATCTGGCTTTTGAAGCACATATGACTACTAGTCACTTGTGTTTAGTGACCGCTAATCGGACACTAAACTAGACTCAGAAAACCGACGGGACTACTAGCCTCATGGGTTTTCTAAATAGTTTTTAAAAAACGCACGAGATTGCTAGTCCCCTGGGTTCTCTGAGTAATTTTCACAAAACGCATGGGACTAGTAGTCCCGTGCGTTAGACAAAGATTTCGAATCTGCTACTCAGCAAATCCATGGGACTAGTAATCCTATGGATTTGCTAGGCAGACCAAAACATGCACAAAACATGCACAGATCATACTTAATTAAATATATACCTCATCTATATTTCTAAATATGCACAAAAAATATAAAATCCGCCTCATATACATTATTGAACAGTATAATCATTATATAAGTTATAAACATTAAGAAATAAGCATAAATTAAATCACATTTAATTAATTCACAATATCACAACATAGTAGACAGCTCATTTAATTAATTCACAACATTACATTTAATTAATTTTTGGGCACAACTGGGGCTTAAATAAGCCCTACAAATCCACGGGACCCGTGGATTTGTTGGGTGCCAAAGACGAAGTCTCTGTCTAACGCACGGGGCTAGTAGTCCCGTGGGTTTTCTGAGTCTTGTTTAGTGGCCGATTAGCGGCCACTAAACACATGGGACTAGTAGTCCCGTGTGTTTTAAAAGCCAGATTCAGCGAAACCGACCTCTTTTTTGCCAGCTCTCGGTTTTGCTAAACATTTAGCAAAACGGTCGATTTTGTTAAATATTTAGCAAAAATAGCCTATTTTTTTTAAAAAAAATCCTAAATAAATATGCTAAGGGGCTTTAGTTTAATAGCCCCTAAACTTTTGGAGTTTTTCAAATTAACGCTTTTTAATAACACAAGGGTACGGGGTTCGCCCTTTTTTTTATCTTTTTTTCTTCTGGATACTAATACATTTTCTTCTTGACCCTTTTTTACTAATGGAAATTTGAGAAGCACAATGCCCCAAGACTCTCTATAAGGCGATGTGAGAATAACTAAAACTTTTCATCTTTTTGTTAACGTAAATATGCATTAAGGGTTTTTCTTTTTAACTTGTCGATTTATGAATATCATTTAAAAGAAATATAATTAGCCGATCATCAGTATATTTCAACTTTTGACTAGCTTGCAAGTATTTCTCAAAGAGACTACGCGTCTAGGACAATATTGAGGTCGCCCCTTTTTTTTTAGGCTACGTTTGGGAACTTTGATTTGGATTTGGGAAGTTGATTTAAAATCAAGGGATTTTAAATTTAGGATTTGAAATCCATGATTTAAGAAATCTTTTGTTTGGATATCTTTATTAAATGAAAGGATTTGAAATCTTTGATTTCAAAATCTAGTGTTTGGGTACTTTATTATACATGAATTTAAATTTAAAATTGATAAAAATTTATTCTCTTAACTCATCAAATACAATGGAGATGTGTAAAATAATAACCAAAAAAACACAAATTTATAATTTAGGCGATGATAGCTACATTTGCTAAGTTTTCAAATTTATTACCCACCATAACTTGAAAAAAAACTCTACAAACATATCAAGTATCTTACAAAAACATATCTAAATAATACATCATCACTGCATATTTCACAGATATCCAGGCTGGAAAACACTTGAGGTTTGTTTCATATTTCACACATATTCAAAGTGAGAATAAGTTGATATCAGAGCAAATAAGTAACAATTTCATGTGTTTGAACATTAAAAATGTAACTATCTAAACCTTGATTTCAACCTATAAGCCATGCTCAAACATCATCCTATATAAACAGAGCAGGTACAACTGACAATTACATAGTCAATTTGGTCTTTGATATACCAAGAGAAATGTTAATAAGAAAAAATACAAAGAGTTGCAAACTGAATAGCATGTGAGAAGAGAAGTATCCTCAATGTAAAGAAATTGTAACCGAGAATTCAGAACCGCTCGTATGATAAACCCTATCCGTAGCAACAAAAGAACAATTCAACAATCATCCAAATCAGCAAATGCCACAGGTAAGGAGGAGAAAAAACAGACTCCATAAATTTTGAAATCTGCCAGAGACTAACAGAAGACCAATCGACACTTGCGCTTATTTTGCTATCTGAATTCAACAATCATCTAATCTGCAGGAAGAAAGATGGGGCAAATTAGAGCAAAGTAGAAATATTCAATTAAAAAATATTGTTCAAATAACATCAAAATGACAAAATAATGGGAGTTACATATGCCTTAAAAAAGAAAAAAAATCCAAGAGAGAACTTACTCAAATGGGTTCAAAGATTTGGGATTCTTGTTATCCAACTAGAAACTACTCCTTAAGAATAAAGAGAATAAAATCTCTTTTTTCATCATCAAGAAGTGACTTCAACAAATAAAACTTTTTCGGATTGCCATCCATTATCTTCTCAAATGCTTTGAACACTTGAATGCCATCCATTATCTTTGTTCAAGTTGCTATTAAATGATTTTAGTGCATCAACCGCAGCTTGATACACTTGAGGCTTCCACGTACCGTCGACTTTTAATCCTTGGTTCATTTGATCATACAACACATTGGCTAAAGCTGGGTCCATATCACGATTCCACACAACATATGATCTCGACTGAGATGCAATTAGTTTCCCTTTCTTTGTCATCCTAATACATACCAAAGTGTAAGAAGAAAAAAACTTAACTTAGTAGCAAAACAAATAACTTAACTTAGTATACATACCAAAGTGTAAGAAGAAAAAAACTTAACTTAGTAGCAAAACAAATAACTTAACTTAGTCATCATTTGGAACTGTATCATAGTCTTTATCTCAAGTAACTGTGCAGGTAAAATACTGCTACTAATAGGAAGTGTTTAGAAATTCTATTAAGAAAAGTTATAAATCATGCTGATGCTAAACTAAACACACAGCAAATATAAGTATAGAGAACAGTTTAGTTATTACCCCCATCAAATAACCCAGCCTACAGCTTATAAGCCCCACCAAATGAAACAGCATCAGTGGTTCACGTCTTAAACTTAATCAGTGCACAAACTTCCTAAATCAATTAATCCAACCCTTTTGCGCATCATTAAAAGCCATAGATAAAAAATACCGAATACTGTCTCCACAACACATCCTCAGTTGAAGGCCACGCGATATATCTAACTGACAGAAGAGAAGGCAAGCTCAGGGAAGTAATAAACAGAACCAGAACAGCCTAGATAAATAACTCTACAGGCTGATGCTATGCGTGCAGAAGTCTAGGTCGCAAATTCTGAAGCATGTACACAGGCCTTCACATGTTTCATATGGCCTATGCTATGCGTGCAGAAGTCTAGGGCGCATTGGGGTCATCATCATCATCAAAGCAATTTCATTGTACAAGACACAAAGAGAATCGTTCACATTGTCTAATATAGAGGAATCCTATGTTCATGACTGCTTGAAGTACTTTGTGGAACTGTCGACTAATTGTTTCATTTGAACGACAAAAATATGTTTTGCTTGTCCTATTTTTTACATTATGAGCTAAAATATGTAAAAACATAGCGACAATTTCTTCAATTGTGCAGCTTCAGTTGGCTCAAATTAAATGTATATTCATTCTCCCAATTGTAAATTATTTTTCAGACTGTGCTAAAGGGTGGTGTCAGAGAGACTTTGTGAATATATGTATAGATTGAGGAGAGGATTAAACTTGTGGAAAGCCAGAAGATGGGATTCTTTATGTAAACTTTACTGTCATTTTAACAGGAACTTAACCCAGTTTTCTTATAATGTTTGTAAATGTTACATTCTCTTTTTTCATTGTGAGATGGTACTATATTTGTCTAATATATATGGTTAACAATTATTTGTATCACATATAGTCTTCATGTTTTAATTATGAACGTAAAAGAAATGGATACACTATACCTTGCAAATTCAATATGATAAATTTCTACGGAGAATCTGTAAAGTCTGTTGGGAAGTTCATTTACTAATTTGAATGTGAAAACATGTATTATGATCTCACTTACTCAATGTAAATGTACATTATCAGTAAGAATTTGTAAGAATTTGTAAGAATTTGTAGATGTTTCTGACAAAAAGTTTTTGAATGTTGTGCTTAATTCTAAACAATACACATCACGACTACGCTCCGCATATCAATGGGCATTTGGTTCCAACAGGTAAGCACTGATATCATCTAATTTTAGTTTTAGATTGCATTACTGGATAGAAGAGTTCCTGAGATCTTTTTCCCCCCACATTTCATCTAATATCACAGTCTATTTTCTGATCTTAAAAAACAATGTTTTTGAATATATCTTGTGTGTCTGTTGTAGATGTGCGATTACAGTGCTTGCCTGCACAAGAGAATGGACAATATATTTCTCCAGTAGTATTTCTCAATTGGAAAGGCTGGGATCAAATCAGTCAAAGACCACCAACATTACGAGCTTTGGTTTACGGTGGAAAAAAAAGAAAGAAAAAGATCCTATTATTTGTACGTTTACATTGCGTAAGTGAGATCATAATACATGTTTTCACATTCAAATTAGTAAATGAACTTCCCAACAGACTTTACAATTATTTGTATCGCATAAAGCCTTCAAACCCTTCAAGCCGACAGGAAATCATCTGTCATCTAGTTTTTACTCATGAGTGCTTTCAGATTGGAAGTTCATAGAAAGATAAACATGTAAGATGATAAAGGATGTTCAGATAAAAGTCCTATGCTCCAATACAAGGCTAGCAAACCACTTCGATCAAAAGCTTAAGTAGATGAATTATGGATCAAACATTTGTACAAGAGATCTTAATACTTATTACTTAAGTCACATCCACCAGTAGGGCACAAAATTTATCATATGCAGAGAAGCATAAAAACACTTAAAAAACCAATGTCAGCCACTCATACCTAATGCGGAGACGAAATTCAGGACTTAAACATGATTGGCTTCGACAGTAGCTTAGTTCCTGTTCCATGAAATTTCTATCATCAAGCAATCCATACTATTGTTATCATACTACATATACAACACAATAAGATGTATAATGTTATATTATAACACATTAAACCTGAACTTCCAATGAGTTCTATAATGTAATAGTGTTACTTGATTTAAGAGAGACATGTTTCTACTTTCAAGTTCAATCACACATTCTTTATGACATTATCCACATGACTAAAGTTTGGTCACGCATTGTTCAGACATTATACATACTTGCATCTATTTGGTTTTCAACCACTGAGGTTTTTAACTTTACTTTTCTCTTCATTTGCTATTAGTTTGGTACTTTGCTTATAACATACAACATACAAGTGCGAAAATTGAAGCCATACCTTGCATCTATTTGGTTTTCAACCACTGAGGTTTTTAACTTTACTTTTCTCTTCATATTATCCCAAAAAAAAACTACTGAAAGAGAAAAATGAGAACACTGTTCGCAAAAGTGTAGCAGACCTCAACATCCTCATATCCCAAAGAAACACCCAAAAAAATTGTTCTAAAAAACGGCAAAAATTGAAGCCATACCTTGAATCCCAATCAGAAATACCTGCGATGTGAAAAATTGAAGTCATGACAACAGATCTAGGGTTTCGATGGAAGGGTGAGAGAGAGGAGTAAAGGGGGAGACCGAAACTGAGAGAGGAGAAGGGGAGAGAGGCGAGATACCTACGACACGAGCGTGAGAGATCGAGATCGAGCTTTGAGATCGAGACCGAGATCGAGATCGAACATGAAATTTGAGATCGAGATCGAGCGTGAGAGATCGGGACTTCGACACGAGCGTGAGAGAGGAGAAAAAGAGGAGTCGGGTTTTGAAGGGTTGGATTTTGTGGGGTGAGGATTTGGCAAATACCAAGTACTGTGCCCAAATTTGAAATCCATACTTTTTGGGCTTTTCAAATCCACTGGATAAAATAACTTGATTTAAAATCATGACCCAAAGTTGAGCCCAAACATGAAATTTGGATTTAAAATACCCAGAATTTCAAATCCAAACCCAAATCAGCATTCCCAAACACAGCCTTAAATAATTGTAGAAGTTGCTCTAGCATGCAAAGACGAACGATTTCTCTTTAAGACTATGTGGTGTCTACAATTTGGAGCACAACGCAGATATTCTAACAAGAAAGCCGAAACTCTTAGACCGAAATGAAAAATTCAATATATGTAATTGGCTTTGTTTCTCTCATCATTTAATCAAGCAATTTAATAATTCCCCACTGGAACGTAAAATGTCACAATTTTTTTAAAACCAGTGAAATCCTGATAAACAATTGAATACAACAATTTTCTTCAAGGAATCCATGAACAAGGCGACCATCATCCTGTAGGATTATGCAGGTACTGCCGCTTCAATATTCAATATCCTCTCTGCTAATAACAGATCATCTGGAGTTGTCACCTAATAGAGATACACAGAACATCGTGAAAAGTTTGTAGAGGCAGTATCAGTCAGAAAAAGGAAGATATATATAAAAAATATATAATGGGTCATAGGTTTTATCTCTCATCACCGAGTCCAATGATTGTGAAATTCAAGTATTCCAGATGTGATCTCTTCATATCAGGCTTGTGATAGATTGTGCCTAGAGCAAAGTTCAACTCACAGCATCCTCATCACCAGCATCTTCACACACACACACATGCACACACACGCACGCACACGCCAACATGCCCACACAACACTCACATTCACAAAAGAAATAACACCCGTACTCACATTCGCAGTATAGTGTGTTGTGTAACTCGAGGGTTGTGTGTTACTCAGCTACTCACACCCTGTGTGCGTGTATGGAACGTTAGCGGTCGTGTGGTTTATATGATGTATGCATTATCTCCATTCACCATAGTTAAGTTTCATCATTACTATTCATATTGAGACTTGTCTAAGGGACATTTGAAGGATGCTCATGTTACATGCCTGAATAAGCTGAATCTAAACAAAGTTGCATTCAAACAATGAGCAAGTTACAAACCATAGCCTACAGCAATTTCACGATATGAGGACAGAATCATAATAAAGACGGAAAACCAGAGTATGTTTGATTCATAATTTCTCATTTATCTACAACGAACCGATGCCTCAACTTGCGGAGATGGGAGAGCTGAATACCTTTATGTTCGTATAAGAGCCTTCTGTGATATAAACAGGATGTTTTAAGTGCTCCACTATTGATACATCGTCCGTAACTTCAAGCTGGTTCCTGTTGTGGAGGTGAAAAAGTGAGAGCATTTCAACTTATTGTTGATTCACAGGCTAGATGATTTAGAAAGATTGGAAATTTTATTTAAAAAAATAAAAAGAAGAAGAAGAAGACTGCTGAATGCTGCTAGAATAAAATGCAGAAGTTAGAAAGTCGTTTACATCATGATCAGCCCAAAATATTGGAAGTTCATAACATGGATGACATCTTTTAATGCAATTCCAACCAGTAAAACATAATTTTAATTTAATGTACAATGAGGAAAGCACCTGCTGAAAATATGTTAAGAAGGCTTAGTGTTCCAGCAACCGAAATTATAAAATTACCCACAATCCCTCCCCACACCCCTCTTCCAGGAAAAAAAAGGGAGAAACAGTCCCAAAAATAATGATTACTCCTATAATTTACCAAGCAAAAGCTGATAAAAGACAATGGTATCAGACATTTGTAGACAAGGTTTTTGTCAAACAGAGAAAGCCAAAGCCTGGCCCTTGAAAGAATTAACACCACCAAAAGATTCTCATGGTACGACATTATGTTCAAAGAATTACAGCCAGCCAGCCAGTGCCACCCACATCATACAACAACAGAAGGGATGGGGAAAATTGGAATGACCCTCTGTGGAAACTACCGCATCGCTTGACAAGCTGTTTATTTTTTTATTTTTTAAATTTCTCTTTTCTTTTTTTCTGTTGGGGGATTAGGAGAGAACTGTGTATGTTGCAGGTATGAAGGTTGAGAAGGTCTGGTTGGTACTCTGAGCTTTAAATAAGAAGGTCATCTTAATCGTCTATTACCATGTTCACATACTTGTGGTAATAAATATCTGGAAGAAAAGTTCTGGGTCAACAAAAATTTCAACGCTAGTTTTAGGTCTATCAATCATAGTAGAGTAGGTCATGAGAAAACTTAATTAAAATGTTACGATAGGTGGTAGCCTTAACTGATATAGATGAAAGCTACTTACTTGCATAAAAATAATGCACATGCAATATCACGCTTTGGAGACTAATTTTCCCTACGTTACTCATAAATTGAAACTTATCATTGCAAACAGTTCAACATATAACCCGTATCTCAAACTTAACCAACTGGGAAATGAAACAAGGGGAGGAAGCCATACCTATTGACAAACTCAAAGCCCTTTCGAAGCAATTCAGGCTTCATGACCTACAAAAAGACCACAGTAGATAGTTCGCCTCTAGCCACTAACAAGAGCTACTATTTTCACATTTTCTTTCAATCAAACTAATTGAAGAAATAACGAATAACCTGTGGTGTTTGCATCTCCCAAAGTGTTTTTCTATCAAGGGTCTTCACTATGAAAGAGTCGCTGTTAGCCTGCAAGGTGCACAGTAGGACAATATGCATAAATGCACTGAACATCATGCAAAAATAATGATATTCCCATTCGTACTTTTGCACAATTGTAGATGGTTCTTGCTCAAAGCATTTCTATGTGACTAATTAACATGTGTCATGATGCAAACATGAAGTAGAAAGACGTTGCTTGTACTTAGCCTACGCATAAGAATGTTATCCAATATTAGAAGCAAAAAACTCAGTTATAGTATGTGTAGGGTCCAATTAACACATAGCGAGACCGCCATATAAATACTTCAAAACATTAGTTGAAGATATCTGCAGAAACTGATTATCACTAAAAGTAGATGGGCAAATATAATGAACAGATTATAAGCACCTCTTTTATGGTAGCTTTTACAGGAACTCCAAGAACAGCTGCCCCATGCAGCCAACCATCTTTAAGAACCTAGCAATCGAACAAGTATACCTGAAATTACTTTCCATTGGCATCAACTCTAGAGCATAAATTTTCTACATCAAGAATAAGAACCTGCAAACCATATGAAGCTAAGAACTTCAAAAGTTAATCTAACCTACATGAAGAATATGTTCACAAGAATGTATGTCCACAAAATGGCCATACAAATAATACTCTCTAAAGGTTTTCTCATGTGTATCTTACTATCTTATACAAGATAAAACATAGAGATCAGAAATTATACAATCTACAGACTTTTCATATAGTAACCCCATCTCTCATTGCTTACGGAACGTATAAGTTGTGTATTGCTTGGGAGAACAATAAAGATTGTGCGGACAAGAATGGAATTCATGTTCTGAAAAAGAACAAGGTACAAGACAGGTCAGTTACCCAACCTACACTTGGGATCACAATTTGTGACCAAGACAATTTGTTGCATGGAAAGTAATACAAACTTGTCTTTTACAAAATACAAAAACAAAGGGGCTGAACAGTAAATTTCCTGGGGTTGCAATATCACTCTTAAACGCATCTACATCCTATTGTCTACTATTAATTAAGTAGAGCTGTTATGAGCAAATATAAGTTTCAGGCAGATTGACTTCACCACTACAACTGCAGAAAGGGTCAGCAGCAACTACAAATCCTTCATCCTGAGTATGTTAGTTTCAAGCATACTGACTAAACAAAATAATAAGAAACGGGATACATCAGTATTAAGAATATGGAAAAAATAATAATCTTGCAAGTGGTGATTCTGGATTTATGCTAAGAAGATGGCCATAATTTATGGTTTTCGCTCAAAATTTATGGAACTATGCAGATAGTGTTCGAAGTACTACTGCATGCAGAACTTATACTATTGAAAACAGTATCTCTGATGTTTATCAAGCTTGGAGAAGTAGTAACTTAGCAAATTAATGTCTTAGGAATATTCATATGGACAGGCATCATAATACAGGATGCTGAAATGGAATTTATATGTTTCCCTGCATACAAGCGATGCCTTAACTTTTTGCACTTCCAATAAAATGTCTCTTTGAGCAAGAGATTACGGAGCAAATTCAATTCTGCAGAAAAGAAGATACCTTTCCAGAAGTTTCTTATTATATTATGAAAATGATCTTCAACAACCTTTTAGAAGAAATTTCACAACATAGAGGACATAGATAATTCACCCAAAAAGATGATTTTCACTATGAGGTGAATGCCATCATATCACTAAATAACTTACTTTTCAGATTTGCGATCGATGAATTTATTTTTATTTTATTTTAAGGACATTCTAAGTCTATGAATTTAGCTTCAGGACATTTTGGTCCATGAATTTATTTTTAAGAACATTTTGGTCCATGAATGTATTTTAAGGACATTACAGTTGTTCTTAAGGACATTCAGCTCTGTGAATTTATTTTAGGGACATTCTATTCTTGGATTTAGGTTCCGATCCTTGGATTTAGTTCAAGAACATTCCAGTCTTTAGATTTAATAGTGACATTCCGGTCTTCAGATTTAGCTCAGTGAATTTTCGATCATCAGATTTAGTTTAGCGACATTCTGATCCTTGGATTTAGTTGCAATTCAGTTTAACACATTCTGGTCACTCAGAACTGGTTTCAATTTGGTTTAAGGACATTTTGAACCAATAATTTTTTTGCTTTTTGTTTAACGATGTGGCAGTCAGAATATTATTTATTTCTGGTTTAACAATATGGCGGTCAATAACTTTGATTAATTCTAGGCTATACATGTGGGGGTTGTGGAGGTTGAGAACTTTGATTTCCAATTAAGCAACATGGAGGTTGATACCTTTAATTTCCAGATTGACATAGAAGTCAACTGAAGAGTTCTTTTTATGAAAATTATATGGAGTCATCTACAGGTGCCTACTGATCGCAATGATTGTGGTCAAAGCCACTCCATGACTGCCTACTTGCCACAAGGGCTGCAAGTCGACGCCATTTCATATTTCCTGTAGTGCACAAGAACCATAGATCGGACATCAGAGCATTTCGTGATTGCCTTGTGGCCAATGTGTCAGAGTTGCCATTTGCTACATTTCGGCCACAAGAATCATAGGTTGGAGCCATTTTCAAACTGCACACCAATCACGATGACCATAGTGGTCCCAGTTGTTTCACGATGTTCATTTTGACAAGAGGAATAATGACAGAGATACGTAGCTTCGATAAACAAAGAGGAAAAAGAAGCAATGAACTATATAAGTTTCTCCTCCTTTCTCTCTTTTTTCTCTATTTTCGGCTTAGGGTCCGGCTAACTATTGTTTTCTCCTGGTTATGTTGGCGTTCTTCTTTCTTCTTATTATTATTTGTTGTACATGTTGGCTGGTTGCACAAGTTATGATATATTTGATTTTTTATGCTCATAGATGATGATTTTGTGTTTCTGCTATGTTGATTGGATTTGCTCGTATATAAAAGAGATGTAAATTAGATAGGATAGTTTAGCTAAAATGATAATATTTTCAAAATTTTAATTTTATCATCAGCTGATAAGTTTATTTGTTATTTTTAAAACAATTTGCAGATAAGATTAAATATAATTTGAATTTTAAAAAGTTTGTTGGATAAGGTGAATTTACATCTGAGATTGCAAAGGAAGATTCACTTTAATTTCTATTTTATCTCCAGATTTCAATTATTTATTTATTATTTTTCAAAAATTGATTAACAAGTCTGCTTTGCTTGCAAAAACATACATAACCTTCATGTAATTATGGAACTAACTACTTGTGTAAACGAGTCAGGTGCATAAATCAAATTATTTGTGTTTCTTCTCACCATATGTAGTAGAATATACTAGATATCAAGAAATGTGAATTTTGAAATACAGTACTCGATAACTTTCAATGTCATAAGATATCACTAGTACAACAGACCGTGGGATGGTAGAGCTAAGGAGACACCTTTTTGACATGGACAGATGAGACTAAAGGCCTCGCAGAGTCATGAATGCAGACAAGTTCTGAACTTCCATCAATTTCCTGTGAAAGGTCAAAGTGAGTCATTCCTGGTACGACTCATTAAATAAGAAATGTAGTAAAAATGAATTAGTAAACATTAATAACAATTAAGGAACAAGGATCAAGAAAGAATACATAAAAGGGATATAAGTGTCTCAGGTATTACTTGGTGAAGTGGATAAAGATATAACAGAATGAATATACTCATTATATTACTTTCAAGTTACATGACTAGATTCATATAAATGAAAAGGAACTTGAAAGAGCACCAAATTGCACTCTCCTCAAGCATTTGATGATAAGGGCTTTATTTCTTATGTTTCAGGAATCATGAACAGACACCACAATTTATTTTTATTTTTTTAAAATTAGAAGGAGCAGCAGGGAAGTAAGTCCAAGCTTAAGAAGTGAGAAAGAAAAAGGTGAGTCACTAGTAGAATTCATTGAACTGCAACATAACTAAATGTGCTAAAAACTTGCTTTCCTGTCCTATGTTGCCTTTGCTATGCTACTTAATTGGAAGCTTCTAAGATCCTGACAAATTTACTAAGTCATGCAGGCATTTGACGATGCAAACTAGATCCTTCAACTTCGTGCGCCAATCTTCAAAAAACTTCTCATAAAGCTGAATGGACTTACCAACAAAAGTAAACCCCTAAAAACAAAAGGATAGAAGACACAAAGTTTGGGGTGTTACTTAGATTCTAGGTGGTTACGCACATATGATGGAACATAATTTGAGCATAATTTGAGTCAATGATCTAAGAGAAGTGACATGACAAATCTTCTACGCTTTTTTTAGATGAATAACAATTTATACATTTGTAAGCATCATACACAAATGGACATCGTGTCCTGGAATGCTAGACACGCCTATTTTTAGTTGAAAGAACTGTGACTCTGCATCTAAAAAGACATCTATAAAATGTCATTATTCCAAAACAAAGTGACTCTCTATTAGAAAGGCAAATGCATTACCATAAATCATAATAACTACAAGTATCTAATATATCTGCAATTGAATTGTGTGTTGATGTATAGATCCAGAAACAGATCAGCAGTGCGTTGACACAGCTACTGTTTTTCAGTTTGCTCAAATGATGGATTGGTGGAAGAACCAGTTTTAGTTCAACATACATTTCAAGAAAACAACAGTTTAAAGGGAGATTTAGATATCATGAAAACCTGAAGCCCATTGAAAACAGAATCTTGCCTCTCCTTTCCAGGAAGTGCAAATTTAAGATCTACTGGTATCTTGTCACTTGCATCTGAAAAAAAAAAAGCAGATTAGTCTTTGTTACATAATTAGTAAGAAATTGCTAGCCAATCCAACAAATGAGATTCAAGAGATGGAAAGATAAATCCGAAAATGTTGTGAGGAGCCATGAGGACCTTCAAATACATCCGTGTAGGATGGATCACATACAACAACTATTTCTTTCACTTCATTCATTCCACAGAATGTATCGAAACTGCGAAAAAACTAATCTGCAGTTAGCTTTCTCCAAAGAAGATTAGTGATTGATACATTTAGAGTAATAATTTGACAAAAAGCTACCTGTATAATGCGATTGGTTGACCTAACAGAGGAAGATACTGCTTTGGCATGCCTACCTAAGGAATGGACAAAATGCTGCAAATTGTTATTCATTTTACTTCCAAATGAAGCATCGTAAGAGCTTAAAACACAGGCTATAGTTCACATATAGTTGATCATTAACAAGTCAATTATCATTTGGATCTGATACTTTCAAAGTAAAGCAATGTTGACAATAACGTTACAATGTATAATGTGATGGTATGCCTCTTGTTAGGTTAAAGGGCATATAGTGTAACACAACATAGGCTACTTGTTTTATTTATTCTACAACAAATACAAAAATATCTATAATGAGTTTAACAAATAGGACCATAATTTCAAAATAAAAGATAACTTTCCAAAAAAAAATATAAAATTCAATACAACATATACTAATTATTAATCAGTACGTCCCAATATATTATCACAAATTAACAAATCACATCCAAAATTTCACATTCCCTACATTCTTCAAATATCTTAAGTTCACAGCCATAATCATATCACGACATTGAAAAAAGTCATCAGACTTAATAACGTGTTTCTGCTATTTCAAATGTTATGTAACACTTAAGGTTTGTTAAGTTACATTAGGCAAATAACAAGTTATGTAACGCATTTTTTTCAACATTGTTTAAGAGTCAAATATAACTTTGATCTAAGCAGCAGAAGACCATGTCATTGGATATTTCTCGATGCTCCTCTAACCTCTAACTATGATTCTCCAAAATTCAGATAGCTTGGCCATCACCAGCATGAGATTAGGCAATTAGTTTGACTATAGATGGCTTTTTGGCAAAGAGATAATATTGAGAAATAATGGAGAGTAGACCTTAACAGCAGTGCTTCAAATATCGGGCGACATGTCGGACATGTCGGTCGACATGTCGGATTTAGGGGCCGACCGACACGATATGGAGTTTTTCAATGCGTATAGCGTTTTCAGGGTTCATGTCGGATATATCGGGGACATGTCGGATATGTCGGGCGGATATATCGGGGACATATCGGCTATGTCGGTTGATTTTTCAGTCTGAAAAATTGGCTGATTTTTTTTGTGCTTTTGGTTATGTTTATCTAATTAGCTTTGAATTTAAACGCTTGATTGTCTTAGTATAGCTTCCAAAAACAAAACTCGATCAGTTAGGAAAAATGAAAAAAAAGATCTAAGTCATTTTCATCGCTCATCTTCTATCTCTCCTTCGACATCTCATTGGTTTCTTCTCCGAGCTATTCCTCCGATATCAATATCAGGTGATCTTCTCTTTCCTTAACCATCAACATCGGACTCCTCTTTTCTCACTTCTTTCCTTCACCATCAACTCTAAGTATCATAAGCTATTTACTTTTTTATATGTTTAAACAATAGAATTTATTAAGTATGTTTAGATTTTATTTATGATATTTATTACATATATGCACACCATCCGATATGGCAATCCGATATGTTTTTCATGTCCCCCGACATATCTCCGATTTCTGCTATCCGACATGAATTTTAGCCGTCCGACATGAACCCGACATCCGACATTTAAAATCTTGCTTAACAGTCAGTGGAAGTTTGAGAAAAGTATTTACTTTATTGCAACTCATCAATTATAATTCTTATTCCATTTAGTTTCATGATAAACTAATAGTTTCTTTTATGTTTTCATGTTCCAACTCAATGAAAAGTTGCATAATGTCTCTGCTTTGATCTCAGGTCGAGGAGCACATGAACTTGTTAGGTCCTTTCGTTTTGATGGTGATTTACAAATAATTTACTTCTAACGTTGTTTGTCTAGTGTTTGTATTTTGTATTTATTCTAGTCAAACAATACGTTGGAGGATGGATGGAATCGAGCATTCACGATCAAATCCAATAGAGGTCGGCGGAATTGTGGAGTGAAGCATTGCATTCAAGTTAAAGATCCAAGATCCCTCTTCATCCGCACAGTTAACCAAGTCGAGCTCATTGAAGACCTTCAAGCTTGGATAACTTAGTTTTAGGTTTTATATTATGTGTGTTTAGTACTTTAAGCTCAATATCATATACACACATATTTTATTGGTTTCTATGTTTATATATATAGTTATATATATACACATATTTTAGTTTTTGGTTTCTATGTATATATATAGTTATATATATACATACATGTTTTGGTTTTCAAGTTTATATAAATATGAAATTACATATTTCATATTTATTATTTTGATTTGGTTTAGCTATATAGATATGAAACAATATATATCTTCATATACACTTTTATATGTTTCATATATATCATTTTGTTAAATGCATATTGTGCAAAACTTTATTTTTACATAATATTGAGTTTTTGGTTTATAGACTTAACAACAATATTTTATATATCAATTCATTAAGTCTATAAAATCAGTTTTAAAAGTTTTAAAAGTTTGTTTAAATCAGTATGTCAAAAACATGTATGTTTAGTTTTATGTTTTTGGATATTTTTGCAAAATGATGATATTTTACAAATGGGAGATGATTTCTGAAAACCGGTTTTTATAACATGTGTATTATCATGTCTACAATCATTTCTCAAAGTTTCATAATTTTAAAATTTGTTTGCCATTTTAAAGGCAGATTAAAAATCAGATTTTATGTTTCAATCAGGCTGATAACCTGTTATCAGTCGATTGGTCAGTCGACTGATAACGTCAGTCGACTGATGTGTCGACTGAAGAAATCATCTGGAATAACAAAAAGTTTCTATTTTATTTTGGTCGACTAATGATCCATCAGTCGACTGATAAAGATTCGACTGATGAGCTGAAAAATGCCTCTAACGGTCAGCTCATCAGTCGACTGATGAAAATCGTCAGTCGACTGATGCTGTAACTGTTAGTTTTTTCAGCCTGTTCCAGTTTTGATTTTTTTTGTCTTTTTACCTTGTTTTCTCTTGGCTTTAGGGTTCCTATAAATACCCCCACATATCCTCAGTTTTAGGAACAAAAAGGGAATGTTTTAAGAAAGTTTAACAAGGGTTTAAAGTTTGGTTTAAGTTTGTTTAAAAAGCTTTTAAGCATTTTTCTAGTTTCGATTTGTGAAGAGAATTTCACAAGAGCAAGTGGAGATCATCTTTTGGTGTTTGAGCATTCACTCTTCTCCCTCTCTCTTGTTATCTATAGAGAAATTTTCTTAAACTCAATTCTAGCTATTTTATTATTTTGATTCTAATTTTCATAAGCTAGATTTTATTATTGAGTTTAATTGTTTTATTGGATACTCTTTGTTTACACACAATCATTGAGCTTATTGTATTTCATACATAGTATAATTTGGGTTGTGAGGATTGTGTGACTTAGAGAGTGAGCTTACACTTAGTTCTCATCTTGTATTAGAGAACAAACAATTGTATTTGTGCCTAATTATGAAGTTACACTTTGTAATACACTTGTACATCGAGAGGAGTGTGTGGTGAGAGACGGGGTCATCCCGAGAGGAGTGGGGTAGGTGGTAATGCCTAGAGGTAGGTTGTAATTCCTAACACTTGAGGGAGACACGGGCTAAAGACCAACACTTAAGAGGGGGTAAAGTGTGATTATAAGAGTGTGAGATTGTAAAGTTTTTGGTGAACTAGAAAATCGAGTGTGTAGAGAAGTTCTGGCTTCTAAACCGGGTGTGTCGTGATAGTGGAGATCTCCTCGAGGTGAGGAGCGGAAACGTAGGTCGTGGGGACCGAACTCCATGAACATATCATTTGTTTGTGATTGCATTGACGCACTTACTTTTATGTTCATATCTTGTATCGCTTTGTATATTGCTTGTTGTTTATATTGCCCACTATCTAGTTTAGATTGTTTACCCTTGTATTATTTATATATCCTTGCTCCTATCTTGTTGAATACCATTCTTGCTAGGATATATTGTTAATTAGTTTTAAATTGGTATAAATCGGATTAGATTAGCATAAACTATATTCACTCCCCTCTAGGGTTCTTTTCTAGTGGCATTAGGGTGCTTTCAGAACTCACGTGTGCTTCTTCCACCTTGAGATCGTATATCACCTTTAGATGGTTCTCACTTCCAAGGTGAACTAGAGGATGTGTTTAGACACGTCTGCTTTAAATTTACATGCTCGTACAATGAAACAATCTTGCTCCATTTATCCTTTCTATCGAAATTCCTCTTCTAGAAAATCCACATGCTTGGACCACATATTCGCTATAGTTCCTTTCAGGTTTCAATATATGCATGCCTTATAGTGCAAAAAATAACTAATAAATATGCATCTCTTTCCTCTAGGCTCCGATCCATATATTAAGAAAGATTTCACACATATGCAGTTGAACCCAAGTTCATAAATCCCTCTAGGCGTAAGAACTAATTTACAAGGAATATGATTCAGAGTAAATAAGATTACGATCAATGCATCTTCCTAATAGGATATTGGAAACTGGGAATGTCTCGTCATCAATCCCAATATATCAAGTAAAGCTTTACTCTCTTTTAATAATGTAATTTTGATTCATTGTGTAGGGAGTAAGTAGTTGAGTAGATATTCCTATGTTTGAAAAGTATGCATAATTTTTTCATTGCTATTTTTATCAAAATTGGAGTTAAGTCTTCTTAAATGTAGTTAATCCCAGTCAACTCTCAAAAATATCAAATGAGGTTTTTTTGCCTATCATTTGTAGTTTCCATCTAACTCTAAATGTCGGACATCACTGTCGTTTACAAAAATCTAGTCAGACGGAAATTTTCTCCACTCCAAAAAATGCAAGTGGAAAAGAAAATTAAGCAACAGTTTTTAGAAAACCATAAACTATGCTTAAAAATTAACTGTCGTCAAAAAGATAGGGAAACTTTTACCCCCATTCTCTTCCCTACTCCTCCGGCCAATAAAACCACAGACACGCTCCTCTCTTTCACAACATCACTCTGTCAACAGAAAAAATCCAAATTAAGAGATGGGTGTGCTTTTTGCAAAAAAAAAAAAAAAAAAAGATAATGTGCCTTTCTTTTGCAAATTTAAACAAACCTCATTTTCTCCTTTTTGCGCAGCGGCGAAAATTGGCAAATTCCGCTTAACAGCAACTCCACTTCCCTCCTTTCTTTTTAAACCACCTAAAACTGAAGCGAGATAAAAAGATCAAGAAAGAATCCTCGCCCAAAAATACAAAATCGATGGGCAAAAGCAAGCATTTTTTTTTATTTTATTGATTATACCTTGAATTGGATGGCGAGGGAACGGGAATTGTGAGCAAGGAATGCAGAAGGAAGGAGACAGTGGATTGGAGTTTGAGGAGGGACCGAGATTGGGAAGATGATGAGACAGGAAGAGATTGGATCGAAGCGCCATTGGAATTTTTTTCCCCCCACCTCTAGGGTTTCGTTCAAAGGATCGAAATCGAGCTCGATATATAGGAGTGGAGGAGGGAATCAAGGCTTCGCGCTTCCCTCGTTTTTTGGGGCTAATGAGTCAATCGAGGCAGCGTCCAGTGGAGTACCGACGATTACCTTGTGAATATCGTTTTAGGCTGCGTCCAGGAACTAATAATATCGTTTAAGAGCGGCAATAACTGTTAGAAGATAATTTGTAATTCTAGATAGCTCTAGGATATTTGTAAAAAAGTATGTAAAGTAGAAATATCTAGAATAATCTAGGAAGAAAATATATTAAGCATGGATGTATGTAGAATTATATAGAATTCTCTAGCATTTTGATGTATCATGAAAAATCTAAATATTACAGAGAATTTCTTGTGAGCCTATAAATAGCCTTGAATGTAAACTTTGTAATTAAGGCTTGAGCAATTTATACAAAGTTTCTTTAAGTTCTTAGCCTCTTCTTATTTTCCCTCCTATTCACACTAGTGCTACACCACACTGGCATGGCGCTTACACGTCACTGCTGATTGTTCATTAGCAATTGTCTTTTATTATTGGAAAATTAAAACTGCCTAGAATTAAAAAGCCTCGTATAGTATATTATTAAGCTTCTTTTAAAAAAAAATTCTTAACATTCCATTGCTTCTTCCTCTACGTTGTCTTCCTAAAACAAATCTAAGGTCGCCTCAATTCGTTCCTTTTGAAAGATTATCGCTGTTCGAATTCGTGATCGAATTCATGAAAGGAAAAAGAAGGGCAAGTAGCTACCAATTTTTTCCTCAAAAGTTTTCGATTTCCTTTCTTTCGTTCTTTTTTCTTTTTTTTTTCCTTTTTTTTCTTTTTTCTTTTTTTTTTCCTTTGGTTTTTTCCTTTGTTTTATTGGATGGTCGCTAATTGCTTTTGCAAATCACAATAGGCACTGGTTGATCGAAATTTCATTAGGGTACCGTTTGGCAAATGGTTAAGTGAGGGGTTAAGGAGACTTATCCCATTTTTAACTCGTCAAACACAAAAAATCTATACAATAGTTAAAGTGAGTTAACCCTTCATAATTTGTCAAACATAAAAAATATAAAAGGGTTAAGCTAACCCCTCTAGATGGATTAAAATGAGTTAACCCCTCAAAATGAGGGGTTTACTAATACTCCTATTTAAAAGGATTAAGAGTTAACTCTTCTAATTATAAAAAAAATAGTCAAAATCATTGTTATTCCCAAACACTAAAACTGATCACAAAGGTTAAAATAAAACTTATTTAACAGGTTAATAATTTAGTCCTTCAGAATATCTAAGGGCTAAGTACATTAATCCTTCTCTTTAACACTTCTTCCTTAACCATTTGTCAAACGGTACCTAGAAGTATAACTTTTTCACGGTCAAATTCTTACATTGGAAAGGAATCATGAAAATGAAAAATTTTCCTCACGTTACTTAATACTCCAAAGGTGAAGATGGACATGATGCACATAAACGAGAAAGAAACAAACCGAATTGAGAAATGAGAAGGAACCACAAGTTGGTACGGCATTCAAATCATATGAAGAAGTAAGTGAATTTTATAGTGTATATGCTACTACGTACTTTGGGATTTGGTACCAAATTACGTAGTTCATGGTTAAACGAGCATAAGCGGATTAAGTGTGTCGTATTGGCAAGTTGCAAACATGGAAAACCACAACATACTTCCAGCAACAATTATGATTCGAAGCCATCAGTGAAAATGAATTGCCAAGCAAGCATACATGTGAAATAGGCATCAGACAGTGTGTATTACATTTTAAAAGTTAATATTCATCATAGTCGATATGTAGTTCATCACAAGCTCGATTCTTCCCGTGCAACAATGTAAAACTCCATAAATTTAAAAATATTGTGATTAATAGTAATAAATAACTTTTAATATTTTTGAGATTATTTATGGATGAATGATTATGTTAACAATCGATTTGAGATCGATTTGGTACGAAAATGGGAGGATACAAGTGTTAAACGTGCACAAAACGAGTGAAAACATGCACAACCTGTAAATAGCTTGGGTTTCTGTTCGGTCGACTGATGCTTGCAATCAGTCAACCGATGGGAGCTTATCAGTCAACTGATGGCAAGCATCAGTCGACCGACGCGCTGTTTTCCTGATGTGAGTTGGTTTCGGGTTTATTTATTTTGTTTCGGGTTTGTTGGTATATATATAAGCATATACACTGGAAAATCCTCTTTTACATCATATTTCTAAACCCTAGAAACCACCCTCTTCCCTCAAAATCCTAGATATTTTTTTGTGAATTTTGAGAGCTTTGTGAAGTAAATACCGAGAAGAGGAAGAGACCGTTGGCGTTTGGTGAGGGAGAACCTGTTTCCTTGCACTCTTGGGGATTCCTGCATGTGTTGAGGCGAGTTTCATCTCCTCCAATCTCATCCGCATTTTTATTTGGTTTTTATTGAGTTTTATTTGGTTTTATTAGGCCTTAAAACCTAGTTTAATTATAAAGATTATTCCTTAAAGGTATATGATATAAAGATTTGCTCTTTTTTATTTAAAAAGTTATAAACGAATTTCTCTAATTTGGATTTAAGATTTGAAATAAATAATTAACATGAGGATTTATCGAGATTTATTGGTTTTCATGATGATTTGACAAACATGAACATGTTAGGGTCATAATAATTCACCTACATATAATAATTGAGTTTCATGTAGTTAATTGAGCCCTAATCATCTCAAACAAGTTTTTTTTACATATGATGTTCTGGATGAATGGTCTTGATGCAAACATTCGCCAGCTTCATGTTCTAAAAGGGGTGGTATTGAGACATAGTCTAATCCTCTCCTAATTTTATGGTAATAATCAGGAGGTTTTCCTTCTGAAGTGAAAGAATGAATCGGTGCTCGCCTTCCTTTTTCGAAATTCAAACTTTTCTATTTGTTAAAATCATATCTCATATTCCTCATCATATGGAAGGCCTTAGACTCATAATGATGGAATTGTGGGATTTTGGTGTCATCCTCTGAACTTTTCTAATTTGATAGCTCAGAGTTGACTTTTCTTAAATAGATTGGCTTTTGACCTTTCTTCTTAGCCGGGACCATGAAGAAGGCTTTCTACGCGTCTTTCATCTCCTCGAATGTGGCGAAAGATGACTTGAGTGGTAGATTAAGTAATGTCTCGACGTAAAATGTATGCCATAGATCTGTGCTTATATCTGTATCAGTCGATATTTTCTCACATTCAGAGAATACATCAGACACGTAAGCCAAATTAAAATTTTTATTTATGTATCACTCGTCCTCACTAGGTACATCATTATTATTGAGCTCATTATGGCTCATTACATTCGGATTCAATTCCCACAGACAATCTTCCTTGGGTTCGGGCTCGGCGTCCACTTCGTTACTGCTGTCTGGATCTTCTTTTGGTTATTCCAGCTCTTGGGAGTCCAGATAGAAAACTGAGTCAGTATGGTAATTTTCCACCCCCTTGAATGGTTACTTTTCGGCTATCAAGGTTCTGACTTCTCCCTCTTCATTAATGTACTTTATCACTTGATGGAGGGTAGACAGGACAATGTGATTCGCATGAATCCAATATCGTCCCAACAAGAAATTGTAGGACGTGTCCGCGTCTATGATGTAGCTAGTCACTTCTGACTTGAGATCTCCAATTGTTCGTGGGAAAATTTTGCAGTAAAAGAAACGAAGGAAAATTGATTTGTATTCCTTTAATCTCAGTTACAATTGGATTTTCTGATTACAAAAGAGAAGAGAATGATCTGGATTCTCCCCTTTGTTTAATTCTGGGTTCTTCACGGTGGCGATGAGATGCCTCCCTCGATTGCTCGCGTCGAGTTTGCTTCTCGTTGACGATCCGACGTCTTGTTTCACTGGAACATGATCTTCTCCTCACGATTTGACGTTGTGGAGAACTTGCGTGGTAAGTTTTATAACTCTTGATGAGTTGATTGATCTTAACCGTAATTGGTTAGACCAGCCAAGGATCTCTTCTTTGCTGCCAAAAAGAAGGATGAAAGATCTAGCAGACCCCTCCGAACTGAATTGATTTTCAGTTATTTATAGGGGATTAAGGGGTGTAACTACCTCCTTAATTCGCTCCTAAGTGGGGCTAATGGGATGTAACCGCCCCTTAAATCACTCCTGAGTGGAGTTGTGATCCCCTCGTATCGTGGGAAACGATTTTGAAACCGTTAAGCTCGTGTTTGAACGAGTCAAACGCAAATCCTGCATTCTTGAATGAAATCTGCGTTTGAACGCAGCGTCTGGAGGTTCAGACGCAGCGTCTTGTTGAAAGCTGCATTGGTAGTTTGTTGGAAGCTGCGTTTGCGGCCGAACATGAGCTGCGAATCTGAGCTGTGTTTGCAGCTTTTGGAGCTGCGTTTGCGGCCGAACCTGAGCTGCGTTGACGGCCGAATCTGAGCTGCGTTTGCAGCTTTTAGAGCTGCGTTTGCGGCCGAATCTGAGCTGCGTTTGCAGCTTTTGGAGCTGCGTTTGCGGCCGAACATGAGCTGCGTTGGCGGCCGAATCTGAGCTGCGTTTGTAGCTTTTGGAGCTGCGTTTGCGACCGAATATGAGCTGCGTTGGAGGCCGAATATGAGCTGCGTTTGCAGCTTTTGGAGCTGCGTTTGCAGCTTTTGGAGCTGCGTTTGAGCTGCGTTTGTGGCTATGAACACGACGCATCTTGATGCTGGTACGCGGGGAGGATTTCCACGTCTTGATTTGAAGAGACCGTCGATTTGTAGTCTCTTTCTGTCGAAGTGTTGCAAAGATCATCATTTTGTAATCTTTACTTTAGCTCTCTGATATGTGAGAGTCGTCAGATTGTAACTCCCGATGTTGATTGTGGAGGCTGTTGATTAGAGCTTTCATCAATTGTTGTGAAGGTCATCAGATTGTAACATTCATTGATCCACGTGAAAATCTTCAAATTATAGCCTTCTGGAAGTCGTCAGATTGTAACTTCCATCATCGGTGTTTGATGAGGATCAGCTATCTATTGTGATTTTTAGACAGCTTACAGAACCCCCTCCAAAGTTTTCGAAAGTTCGCGATTGACTGGGACGTCTGACCTCAACGTTTTGACTTAAGACATGGAAGTGGTTTCCGTGTATTTTTGACTAAGTCTTTGAGACTTG